TCTTACTGAGGCATATAATTGACAGTTGAACAGGACACAGCACTTGGTAGCACTCAGAAACACAGCTTTCCAGACAATCAGACAACAAAAGGCATTCTCTCAGGAATAATTCAGGCCTAAGTTACTTTACAACTTTAAAAATGGTAACTTCAAGCTTCAACCAGTCAGGTAAGACTGATTACCTCAGATAAGCTCACAAGAAAATCCAAGAACAAATAATATTTACTGAGGAAAGTAGAAGTCATAACCAAAGAATTTCAGCAATTGCAGTCAGCAAAGAACTAGTCCTATTTACAGACATGGTCAAATTTTCTTTCACTTAATTTTTCTTGCCACCCTATTTAATAGACTACTTATTCCTCTGAGTAGGCTAGCTTGTTGCTCTCTATCCTTTTGTTTTTGCAATGGTCAGATTTGTTCTTGGGGTTTTTTTTTACTTGGAATGGGAGAATGACCTGTAACAATAAACAACAGTTTTATATTTCATCTGGAAACCTCTGGGCAGCTAGGGCAACTCCTTATGAACAGGCATCATATGGTACCTTCTAGAAACTCAGCCATCACATTTTGAAGCAAGAGATGTTTTTGAACATTATACAAAGGCAGTCTTAAATAAAGGAGGTTACCTGCTGATGTAACACTATTTTGAATGTGGAGCTATTTATTGTATTAGTTGCACCATGTGAAACGTGCTCCAGGTCAAAGCTTCAACCTGGACACAAAGGCGACGCCAGAATTCAAAAGCACTTCCAAACTAAGAATCTCTCATTTCTGGGGGGATGGAACCCATCCAGAAGAGGAAAATCCATCCAATCCTCTATATCATGTCTGTTCATAATGAGCACCTTCATCTTCCTTGGATCCAATTTTCAACATGTAGCCTGTTACCACTCTAAGACAGGCATGTAGCAAGATATTGCTATTACCTGAAAATAATAACAGGAAGATACAGATTTGGCTATTATCAACATATTGATAATACCCAAACTCAAACTTCCTGATGACCTCACCCAACAGTTTCATCTCAATCTTAGAAACTGCTGGTGACAGAACAGAGCCCTGAGAAACTCCATACAACAGTTCACCAAGCACACAATATGAGTTCTTAAGACTTTGGAACTAAACCACTACAATGCAAGTGCCTTCTATCCCCAAACCCTCAGGTGATCTAGAAGACTCCCTTGGTCAATAGTATTAGAACCCACCAAGAGATCCAAATGACCAAACATCATCATATTCCTTCTGTCAAACCCTTGGCAAAGGTAATCTCTGGGTATGACCAAGGCTGTCTTACCCCATAATCCACTCTTAAGCCAGTCTGAAATGGATGTGGATAATCAATTTCCTCCAAGATCATTTGAAACTGATTAGCCATCATCTTCTCTATCCCATCTGTCTCTCTCAAAATAGTTTAAATATTGATGTTAAATTAATTTAAAACAATAACTATAGTTTTAACTTGAATTTTTTAGATACTCTGATTTTTATTTCTTTTAACTGTCATTTGTTACTATAATGCAGTGTTTCTCAACCTTGGCAAGTTTAAGATATGTGGACATCAAGTCCCAGAATTCCCCAGCCAGCCATGCTGGCTGGGGAATTCTGGGAGTTGAAGTCCACATATCTTAAATTTGCCAAGGTTGAGAAACACTCTTGGCAAGTTTAAGATATGTGGACATCAAGTCCCAGAATTCCCCAGCCAGCCATGCTGGCTGGGGAATTCTGGGAGTTGAAGTCCACATATCTTAAATTTGCCAAGGTTGAGAAACACTCTTGGCAAGTTTAAGATATGTGGACATCAAGTCCCAGAATTCCCCAGCCAGCCATGCTGGCTGGGGAATTCTGGGAGTTGAAGTCCACATATCTTAAATTTGCCAAGGTTGAGAAACACTGCTATAATGTATCCTGAAGAAATCATAGCTCTAGAATAAAAATTGTATTTGTGAAGAAACAACTATGAGAGTCTTCTCATGAAGGACTCTTAGCCATTTTTGATTTTCAGTTAGAAGTTGGCTTTATTTTGTTTCTCTGCAGTAGGCATTTGAACATCCTTATTTTTCTTACCTGTTGTTTTTGCTTTGTAGGGGATGAGACAGTGAATTTAAACGACTTCATACACATTTGCAGTGACGGTCTCACCTTCTCTAACACTGAAGGTGAGTTTATCTCTGGAAGACGCAGATGCGGCAGAACAGTTGAAGTGGAGGTCCTTAGCACAGTTTTGCAGCCTGCAGTGCTGCTACTACTAATCGGGTCTTCTACACATGCAATAGAATAAGGTGGCATATTCACACTGAGAGAGAATGATTTCATTTTGATACTTCCACATATAAATTAGCAACCACACTAAAACTAAAACAAAATAACAAACAGAACAGTCAAGTAAATATATTTACAAACTAATTTGCATCACCACCAAAATCTAGTAATCGATGATATAATAATAATAATAATAATAATAATAATAATAATAATATCAACATTAATCAGGAAAACATATATTGCCCATTATGTAGACAATGATTTGGTATAAAAACTCCTGTGGATCCTGGACCATCTTTCTTAACATACATACCTATTCACACAAATTTAGCTGTATCTTCTGTTACAAAAGTATCTTGACCCCTTAACAAAAATATCTCAAAAAATGAAATATTTTCTTGAACATTTGGCACTATTAGATCTCTATAAAGTTCACAAAGCAGTAAAATAATAAAGTATTAGTCATCATCCCTACTTCCCTGGACCCATTAGGGTACGTCCTCATTTCCCTTTTGAATTTCCTTCCAACACCGCTGGTGAAAATATATTACAGTGAGGTGAATTAAAAACGCCTCTGTATTTAGGATTTAAGTTAATCAGTTAGTCTAATCCAGTCTTGTAGAAAACAAGAAGAGTTATGAAGCTACATCAGAGTATGTGGTTTATAAGTAAAAGGTCCCCAATCTTGATGCAAGGTTGGAAAATACTTTTCTCTGACACTCAGAAAATTGTCATTGATTTTTTTTCCTTATATAATATATTTTAATATTCTATCTTTCAGCATCCAAAAGGGATCAATAGTATTAAAGCAACTTCCTATCACCATTCCTTTTGATGGAAGATATTTTTCCAGCTCTTTGATTTGGTTGGACTTTTATTGCCTTTTGGCGTAATGAGCTCCTGTGACAAGAAAATTGAGCATTCTTGAATTGACCTTTACTCTTCAAGGGTTTTTTTTCTTCCCCTCTGATAATTATGTTGCCATGTTATGGTTCTTCAGTGGTGTTTCTTTGTGGGATTGTCCTTTTCTTTTTTAGCCAGATTAATTGTGAGAAAACCCCTCCCAAAGAAACACATCTTTAATTGGCTTTACCTCTTGAAGTGATAGGAGGGAGTATCCTAAAGATATTTGGTGAATGACCTTCTTTCCTAAGTATAGGAATCTCTAGCAATCAAAAAATCAGTCTTTTTCGAGTTGCAGTTATGTATCTGGATTATATGGAGGAACTTTTAAATCATATTTCTTCTCCTGCAGCCTAATATGTCAAAATTACCTCTTCCTGAAACATGGGCCTTAGCAAATACCCATCTTTTCTGATCTCTAAATCTATCCCTGAATCCACTGCTAGGGTAAGCTGGTAGGAAAGAGTTCAACAGGATACCTTCATAGAAAGTGTGGTAGTAGCTGGCATTGGTCTAGGACTTGGAAGACCCAGATTCAAGTCAACCTTAGCCATGAAAATGACTTTGGGATGATTACTCTCTCTCAGTCCAACTTGCCTCACAGGTTTGTATTGTGGAAACAGAATGAAGGGAGTGCCTGAAGCTTCCGGAGCAATATAAGTCTAACAAATAAGCAACAGCAAATAAATGGAACTCTAGAGAAAAAAAGATCTGCATGAATTTGGGTGTCAGCCCAATTGGGGCATATGAATTCCATGTTTAACTCATGCAGGTACAGAAATTAAAAACAAATCAAAAAAACAAATCAAAAACAATCAAAAATTGTTCAAGATTCATATTCTTAGCTGCATCTAACATGAACCTACTGATTTTATGATATGTTCATGCTAGGTTAAAAACTCGTTCATTGGATATTCTAATACTCCACAATGAACCACTAATTTTCAAAATTCAGGCTGCTTCTATATAAAGGTATTATACTAATCTGATAGTAATTTTATTAAAAATTACACTTCCAATGATAAAAAAAACTAATAGAAACTAGAAAAAGAAAAAGAAACAAAAGAAAAATAGAAGGTGCAGAAAAAATAGAAAAAATGGAAAAGAAAGAAAAAATAAGAATATAGTAAAGAAAAAGAAAAGAAATATATAAAGAAATGA